TGATCAAGTGATCTCTCTCCTGCCATCCATCTCCATCCTCTGACAAACAGAGGCTAGGGACACCATTCCTTACCCATCCTGGCTAATAGCCATTAATGGACTGAATCACCATGAATTTATCCAGTTCTCTTTTAAACCCTGTTATAGTCCTAGCCTTCACAACCTCCTCAGGTAAGGAGTTCCACAAGTTGACTGTGCGCTGCGTGAAGAAGAACTTCCTTTTATTTGTTTTAAACCTGCTGCCTATTAATTTCATTTGGTGACCCCTAGTTCTTGTATTATGGGAATAAGTAAATAACTTTTCCTTACCCACTTTCTCCACATCACTCATGATTCTATATATCTCTATCATATCCCCCCTTAGCTTCCTCTTTTCCAAGCTGAAGAGTCCTAGCCTCTTTAATCTCTCCTCATATGGGACCCGTTTCAAACCCCTAATCATTTTAGTTGCCCTTCTCTGAACCTTTTCTAGTGCCAGTATATCTTTTTTGAGATGAGGAGACCACATCTGAACGCAGTATTCGATTTATATAATGGCAATAATATATTCTCAGTCTTATTCTCTATCCCCTTTTTAATGATTCCTAACATCCTGTTTGATTTTTGGCTGCCTCTGCACACTGCGTGGACATCTTCAGAGAACTATCCACAATGACTCCAAGATCTTTTTCCTGACTTCTTGTAGCTAAATTAGCCCCCATCATATTGTATGTACAGTTGGGGTTATTTTTTCCAATGTGCATTGGTTTACATTTATCCACATTAAAATTCATTTGCCATTTTGTTGCCCAATCACTTAGTTTTGTGAGATCTTTTTGAAGTTCGTCACAGTCTGCTTTGGTCTTAACTATCTTGAGCAGTTTAGTATCGTCTGCAAACTTTGCCACCTCACTGTTTATTCATAAATGATCTGGAGAAAGGGGTAAGTTGAATAGGATTGGTCCGAGGATTGACTCTTGGGGAACACCACTAGTTACCCCTCTCCATTCTGAAAATTTACCATTAATTCCTACCCTTTGTTCCCTGTCTTTTAACCAGTTCTCAATCCATGAAAGGACCTTCCCTTTTATCCCATGACAGCTTAATTTACGTAAGAGCTTTTGGTGAGGGACCTTGTCAAAGGCTTTCTGGAAATTTAAGTACACTATATCCACTGGATCCCCCTTGTCCACATGTTTGTTGACCCCTTCAAAGAACTCTAATAGATTAGTAAGACACGATTTCCCTTTACAGAAACCATGTAGACTATTGCTCAACAGTTTATGTTTTTCTATGTGTCTGACAATTTTATTCTTAACTATTGTTTCGACTAATTTGCCCGGTACCGATGTTAGACTTACCGGTCTGTAATTGCCGGGATCACTTCTAGAGCCCTTTTTAAATATTGGTGTTACATTAGCTATCTTTCAGTCATTGGGTACAGAAGCCGATTTAAAGGACAGGTTACAAACCTTAGTTAATAGTTCCGCAACTTCACATTCGAGTTCTTTCAGAACTCTTGGGTGAATGCCATCTGGTCCCGGTGAATTGTTAATGTTAAGTTTATCAATTAATTCCAAAACCTCCTCTAGTGACACTTCAATCTGTGACAGCTCCTCAGATTTGTCACCTACAAAAGCCGGCTCAGGTTTGGGAATCTCCCTAACATCCTCAGCCGTGAAAACTGAAGCAAAGAATCCATTTAGTTTCTTTGCAATGACTTTATCGTCTTTAAATAAATCATCATTATAAATAAATATATGTAAATAAATCATCATTGTATCAGAAGCTCAGGGCTTTTCTTTTTTTAGAGGGAGAGAAGGGGAATTGGTTACAAATTAATTAATTATGAACTGCTAAACCAGAACAGCTCAGAATTGCTTATGGTCTGTTTTTTTCTTATCTGAGCATCTGGTCTGTGGAATCATATCAGTAGCCATAGCGCTCCCAGCTGGACAGCAAAACCACTCATCTGTCCAACTGAATTAAGATTTTACTGATAAAACATAGTTTCATATATCTGTTCTCTCAAAAGTTACAATGCGCCTAGAAGCTGTATTTTTGGAGTAGGATTCCTTTACCAAGGAAGATCCAGTAAATATACTAGTTGTCTGTAAAATGCCAGGCACACCTATAGATATAAATATATCATAATTGCATTTACTGTAACTTTTTACATAAAATATGTATAACCTTTCAAAACTTTAAGAAATACAGTACTACCTATGAGACACACCCCCTTTATGCGGCAACTTTTCTGTTTTAAGAAATCACAAAAAAGTAACCTCAAACATACAGACTATTATTCTGCTTGATTATTACAATGTCCCTTTTGTTAAGGGATCCATTTCTGTCAGTCTCTTGAGTGGTCACTTAAGACAGGTTTTAAGGTACCTGTCATAGCTTTATTGCCTCCGTAACTGAGTGGTGCCAACAGGTCTCTAGGAGACACTTGAAATTCTCTCAATAACTTCCTACTGAAGATCCATTCTGATGAGTTAGATTGGACACAGATATTGCAGCTCCCCACAGTAGACTTTCAAAGTTAATTTTACCTTTTATTACTTTTACTGTGTAAAAAAAAACAACATAACATTTGAGCAACAGAACTTACTTTAATATTCACTTGTGTATACAGTTTGACCCTACTGACTTTGAAGTCAGTGTTAAAACTCCCATTGATTTTAATGGCGTAGAATTGGACCCAAAAAACATTTTGAGAACCCTGGAAGTACGGCATTAATGAAATGAAAAATGTTATTCTAGTGACTTTAAAGGTGTTCTGCTTTGTCATGTATTCAAATGGAAGGTTCAGTCCACTGTCCTACTCTGTATCATTTAAATGAAATGGTAGAAACAGGTTTCATAGATTCTATGGCCAGAAGGGACCATGGTTATCATCTAGTCTGACCTCCTGTATTACACAGGCCAGAGAACTTTCCCAAAATAATTTCCAGAGCAGATCTTTTAGAAAAATATTCAATCTTGATTTAAAAATGATCAGTGATGGAGAATCCACCATGACCCTTGGTAAATTGTTCCAATGGTTAATTACTCTGACCAATATTGTGGTCTAGTGGACTGAGCACAGAATGCGGGGGATGGGAGAGTCCGATTTCTGAGTTGTAATCATGATTAACATTGCCCCTTCCTTGGCCTGAAGAAAGTCACTTAACCTCCTTAACTTCAGCTGCCTCCCCATCTGTAAAATGGGGTTAACAATACTTACTAGTAGGGATGTTATGAAGATTCTCTGGTCAATGACTACAATGAGTGAAAAGCGAGATTATCTACAGAAGTCAAGTTGCAACAATCAGTTAGGAATAATAATTAATTATTATGAAATTTTACTTTTCACTTGCTTTTACATTGCTTTGTAATGGGATGCAATGATTGGAGTATTGGACATACAAGTTTGTAGCTTTACTTTAAATAGGTACATATATATTTTTGCACCTCTTTGTGAAGAAGATAGCTGCAAGGCCTTCTTTTTCACAAGGCCTGAACTATGTGCTCTCTGTACAAGCTCCAAACAAAATCCTTAATGTAAAAGTCCCTTCAAAGAAGGCAGATTCCTTTGTTGCAGGTCACCAGGACCCCTGCTGCTTAGTGGCAGCTAAATGAATTTGGAGTTCCTGTAATTTATGCACTCCATATGGACGTTGGATAGAAACTTTCAAGGGATAACCGTGGCTGACACATCACATGGAAATAAATCTTGAGGAAAGGCCTATAAACAGTCTTTGAAGACACCGGTTATTAAAAACAGTGCACACTCCTCAAAAAAATCAGCATCCATCAAGTTTATTTGTATTAATTAGCACATTTTTATGTCTCCTGTCTTAAGCAATGTTTACAAAGCTATAGGGAGCAGGTTCAAATAACATCACTAGCTCTCCAAGTCCTGATTAAATAAAAAAAAGGATATGTGCCCCTGAAGAGCTGAAAGGCAGTGAAACTTGTAGCTCATTAGTCAGGACTGCTAGCATGCTCCAGGTCACATTATGTTTGTGCCCTGTGAAGTGTTTTTAATAGCAGCATGATCACTGAACTTCTCTAGAGCACGGGAAGAATCAAAGCAGGATAACTGTATAGAAATCATGAAGTTTCCAACAGGTGTAAAATATAACCAAAATTAAAGCAAAGTGACAGACATAAAGCTAGGCTTTATCTGCATGGAATGGAAAATATCACCATGGGCAGGGAATTTAAATGTTCAGACTGCTTCTACCATCTCACTGACATACTTAAAATTTGTGAAAATATATCAACAATGATAAGAAAAATATTAATTCAATTGTCCACTTAGGAAAATGCATTAAATAAACTTCATGTACAGAATTGCTCATCTGGTCAGGTGTTATGGGTTGTTTTTTTTTGGTTTGGTTTATTTTGGGGTGGGGGGGAAGGGAAGGAAAGGATTTTGTATTCTCTTCAAATCATAACATACTGGACTAGATGAAGTGTTTTTCTGACCGAGGCTGGCAACTCTCATGTTCCTACAGCAATATACTAAATTCTAAGGAAAACAGAATTGAACACCAGCTGAGAAACAGGGTAAGACTTGCTTGATAAGGAAGATGGACTAGATGGTAGTATGTTCTTCTTGTCTAACATTTCTACCTATATATTTGTTCAGGCTTTCCTGTCAATGTAGTCCCAGAGTTTCCTAGCACTTTAACCATCAGCTGAGCAATCTGTCTCGGGTCTTTTCAGTGAAGTGAACCTGTTGCTGCAGTAGGGTCACAATCTATGTGCCCATAATTTTTACAAAAAGGTTGTTCTGTACTTTTTCTCTTATAAATATGAGTTGACCAGATACCATGGTGATGGGCAGTTTATTCATTATTAATGATAAAAATCTATTATCTGATTATCTTGTGCCAAAGCATATTTGCAAAACCCTTTGAGTGAAAACCTGGCCCCCATAAAGTTAACATAAATATTCCCATTGACTTAACAGAGCCAGGATTTCAGCCTTCATTATTTATCCCTGGAGGAGCATTTGAAATTGTACCTACCCAAACTGTTATCACTGCTCGTTGGCCAGGAGGCTATTCTGTCCCTTAACAACTTCTTTTTACAAGAGTCATCTGATTTCACTGAAAGTTCCACTTCCTCTTTCCTGATTTCTCGCACAAGCTGCATGCGGCACCGAGTAAAATCCCGAAAGGAAATCTTCCCATTTTCATCTGCTCCTAGTTGGTGCATGATCTCAGCAACAGACTCCTCCATATTCAACTGACGGCACACCATCAGCAAGTCATTCCTGCGGGGGGGGAAGAAGAGAAAAAAGCAATTTAGTTCATAAAACAATGCTAACCCTGTCTAATCTGGAAATCCATTTATTCACAGACATTTAAATCTAATACAGCAGCTGTGAATTTTGTGAATCCAATAAAGGAACTGTGAGGTCGGCAGATTTCAATCATGGGAATAATGCCTGAACAAAGTAAAGTTCTGAACGCCCGTTGCTTCTCAGCAAAGCTGCACGCAACAACCCCGATGAGGTTGTATGTCCAGATTGTAACCATATTTACCAGAAAGATTTAGACTTCTATTCAGTTATGCTGAAGCAAAACGCACCACAGAAAGAGCAGAAAAGGAGGAAAATACTAAAAACAATATTAATGTATAAATCCCCCAATTTTACAGTTACTAACATTTCTATTACCAGAGATATACAGAGCCAGTGAGAACTGAACCTTGCACCATTACACCAATGCTCCCCCAACTGTGGTTCGCAACCCTAAACGGGGTCCTGGGTCCAACGAGGCAGATTTGCCCCATGAGACACTGCCATCTGCCCCAAACATATCCAGGCCTGCTCCACAAACACCAAGCCAGGAGGCTGCCATTTTAATCTACAAAATGGTGGAATCCACACAGCGTGATCTAACATATACAGTGTGTGTAAAAAAGCAGCTTCTTGGCATGGAGTTGGTGGAACAGGTGCAGGCATGTTGGCTGTGGGGAGGTGGCTGTGCAAACACCATTTTGCTATTTGCATATCTGGCTGTGCAAGCATCCAAGTGAAAGACTAATCCAGTTCCTGGTGAGCAGCAGCCTTATCAACAGAGCCTCCTCTCTGCTTGAGTTGGTAGGAGCCTGTGCTAACTTTTCTGAGATGGGAATCTGCATTGGCTTGTAAGCACCTTAAGGCAAGGCCCATGTTTTCTTTTATGCTAACCAGAGTACCCTGTTAGCACTCGATAAAGAATCATTCTAAGTTACTGTCTCTGTGCTGCAAGTTCCTCGCAGACACAGGTAATGACTGAGCATCTCAGTCAGATAGAGGAACAGTTTGCAACCTTTTTCCCCAGTGTGGACATGACAAAGTATCCTTGGGTGCAAGCCTTTCAGTACAAGCCTGATGCCATGGCTCTGCCAGCAGCTGAAAGTGAACAGCTCAGCAAAATTTCCTGCGATCAATTCTTGCAAGGAATATATGCCCAAACGTTCTCTCCCAGAGTTCTGGTTCACTGTCAAGAATGAATACCCTGAACTCTGAACACTCGACTTGAAACTGTCTGGAGTCACAGGAAACAGTAAGTTTCAAAATGGCATCATGGAAGCAAAAAGTTTGGGAACCCCTGCATTATAGTATCCTGTTAGGTAGTTCTAAGGGGTAGGTATCAGGAATAGATAATATTTAAACAACTCTCTCAGAAGATGGACGAGTGCTCCAGTTTCCATTTCACTCAGGAGAGGTAAAGCAGTAAGTTAAAAACCCAAGGAGGGAGGGAAAAAAAGAAAGGAGAAATATTATTTTGAATAGTCGGTTTCAAGCCTGTTCCCAGACTTTCTGATTACCTTTTAAAATCTCAGTTGTTCCAATTGTTCAATGAAAGTGACAAAAGGGAAGGAAAACTCTGAATTCAGATCCACACATTCCTCCAAATCTCAAAAAGCAACAAGAAAGTTGCAACAAAATCAATTCTAAGTGTAGGTATAACTGTACATATCTTTTTGTATGAAATGTAATTAAGATTGATGCATGTAAATCAAACTGAACACAATGCCAAAAATAACCATTCAAGGACACTGGGACTGATGCCACCCTTTGTTTTGTCTGAGGGAAGGAAGAGCCATTGGAGTGTCCCTTGGACTATGATTGGGCGAGGAGGAAGAAACCTTCCACAGATGCTTTCATGTCTCCCATCCAGAAGATCCTCCTTTTGTGTTTTCTCCAAAAGGAGATAGAACACAATTTGTAAAAGAATAAATGGTAGCAGTTGAAAGGACAGGAAGGATAAGGCACAATGGAAAAAAATGGCTTAATACTAACCAGATAAAAACAACATTGTATGGATTAAAAATTGGTTCCTAAAAAGGAACAGGCCATAGCCATGAACAATGAGACTCCTGAGAAACAGTAGGAAGGAATGTACCTCAGGAACCCACGGTTCAAATATCTGATATTCCCATTAATAATCTAGGCTCCGGTTCAGTGAAATATTTAAAATACATGCTTTGTTGACTCAGGGACCTAGAGCAGTGCTGAAAAAATTCACTCACTCAGTTACCACTCGTGAGTGAGAAACTCTCCCTAACCAGCAAAGGGCCTATGCCATAAATTTCTAGTTTTTGTGAAAAAAATTAAGTTTCTTGCTCATATAGAACAAATACGAGACTCTGAATTTATACTACTTAGCAAACCAATAATATTCTGAATATTGTGCAGGAAGTTTGTGTGCGTGGAATAAGTACCTGAAATTCTTATATAATAAATTTACAGCGTGTGTTACACTACAGCCATTTGGTATTACAGTCAACGTCCATCTGTTCTATAGAAAAACAGTTATAGATTGCCTGGAGCTTTATAAATCTGTAATTCCAGAACAGCTGCCCCACCAGGCCTCCTGGCACAAGCTTTTATGGTGGAACTAGAATATAAAAACAATAATAAAACACATTCTTGATGACAGTGTATTTTAGCCAAAAAATTCCCCACTTAGCTTAAGAATGAGTTTATTATGGAAGATGTAAATCGCATGGTGTATGCTGACTATAAATGACTGATAATTCATGATACAATTTTAGGCATATTTTTATTTTTTCTATTAAAGAGAACAAAAACTGACATCAATAATATTTGATATAAAGATAGTACTTTAATATTACATAGTGTGATATGGTAGCCCTTCCTCGAGCACCCTTCTGCGGCAGACCATGGCACAACATGTATGCCTGCCTTGGTTTCACCTTCTTTAGTCAGTAGAAAGGAATAAAGTCTCCCAGTGTCCACTTCAAAGTGCTATCCTTGGACATAATTTATTCATGTAAACATGACAATCCATAGAACCCTCATGATAAAACAGCTCTCCACAAAACCCCAAAGTACCACAGGTTCATGGCAGTTTCCCATGCTGCTCGCTCCCAAAACATCATCATTTCCAGCTCACCCTCCCACAAGTCCATCTCCAGTCTTTTTCCAATCTTTTTGCCCTTGTTCTAGGGCTCCACTCTCCAGGCGACTCCCCACCTGAGAGTTCCCAGATTCACTCGTCTCCCACTCACACTTGTCCAGTAGCCCCAAGTCAGGTCTCCTGTGACAGAGCTCCCCGCAGTGTTCCACTCAGCCAGGCCTTCCCTGAGAGTCCTACCTCCACTCAGGCAACAACCCCGCAGGACCAGCCCCTTGTTCTGGGCTCAGGTTCCTGCTGACTTCCACTAAGGTCTGCTGCAAGGGGGCTTCCCACAGTGTTTCACAAACCCAGGCCTCTCTGCTTGAGAGTCCTACCCCTGCTCCTGGGACCCACCATCCAGCATCAAACCTCTTGTTTCGGGCTTAGCTTTCCCAACCAGGCTGGTTCTTCACCTTGTTCCTGTGGCCACTGCAAGAGCTCTCCTGTAACTCGACAAGGTTCTGCAGCTCCGGCAAGTCCTCACCATCAACTTTCCTCATCTTTTGTTCTTCCCAATGGCTCTCTGTTCCACTTCTTCTCTGCTGCTCCTGTTTCTCCCTGGGTCTCTCCTTCCCTCCTCAGGCAGCTCTCACCTGCCTCTTTCCTGACTGACTCTCCACTGTCTCAGTATTTCCCCATTTTTATACCATCTATGTGTCTCATTTCCCCATCTGTGAAATGGGGATAATACTATTTCCCTACTTCGCATGGGGGAGGGAGAGGGGTTGTGGATAAATACATTAAATATTGTGGGGTTCTTAGATACTGCTGAATTGGACCATATAAGTGCCTAAAATAAATAAGACAGAATTCCTACTCATGTGCTTAAAGTTAAACATGTGCATATGCGTTTTCTGGATCAGGGCTTAAGACAGAAATAACAGAACAAAATGATAAACCGGGGGAGGGAGGGCGGGCCCCTACAGAAAGACAAGGATTAAAAGAGTAAGCGATCATGAGATGATCTTATTGTTATATATGCTGCTTGTGATTTCCCTACTTGCTCTCTAAATACAGAGATTAGATAATACCTATAATTTTTAATACACTGCAATCTGGAGACTCTGTCCCAAATGAAGTCAGAAACTTGTGGGAGGTCAGTGAGAAGGGTTAATATGAATTATAAGAAACTGTTTTTTATACTAGGATTATCAGACATTAATTTATTAGCCGAAGATATCGAATGCTAGTGAAATTATTGATCCAATTCATACCCGGGCATGTCAACCATTCTGGAATGACATTAGCTTTATCCGTTTCCCTCTATTCTCATATTAACATCAGAATAATACATTTTTTTCCTTTTTTTTAAAAATACAGCAAAAAATATTGTCTAAGGAATCTGTTTAAAAGCTACATACACATCATCTAGAAGATGTATGGGAATTTGTTCATGTAAATACCTGCACATAGAGATTAACATCTAACAGGAATACATACTTCCCTTCCATTAAATTCCTGATTAATTCCCACTCAAAAATACCCTGAGGCACAAAATTAACCATTTAAAAATTGCAATTTCCACAGCTACCAATTGTGACATCGGAGGCTTATGGCTTCAGGTCTGGAATAAGTAGCAAGATCATCTTAACTAAAGAAATAAAGAATCCTGTATTCATAAAATATCCTTAATAATATAATTAGTACGAAGTTATAAAAATATGAACTAGCTGAATTATGACTCAGATTTTCCCATGCTCTCAGTCTTGAATACAGCAAATAAATACTTAAGCAAATGCTTAACTTTACGAACAGTAGTTGTCCCATGACTTCAAGAGATCTACTCACATTCTTGAAGTTAATACAGTAACTCCTCACTTAACGTTGTAGTTATGATCCTGAAAAATGCAACTAAGTGAAA